CAGGGAGCTTGGCGGCTCGGTCATAGCTTCCAGCAGGGTGGCGGCAAGGACTGAGGCTTTGCTGTCGTCACTGCAGTGGGTCTTACCTTGATATTTAATGGGTTTACTTTGATTGTTTCGAGGATTCCCGATTCTTTTAAAGAGCTTCCAAAAGATAGCTGGATCCTCTTCGGTGTTAATCTGTCCACAAAATTTACACCAATATGCCTCGTTTTCGTTTTTAAGGAGAGCTTTAATTTCGTGGTTAAGCCTGTTATTGAGAGGTTTTAATGCGGGGTCTTTAGAGCGAAAGTAAGCGCGTCTTAGTTTTCTACGTTTCTTAATTGTATACAGGACTTCTTCAGAGAGAGAGTAAGGTTTATGGGAGATAGAAATTTTGGGTATTGTTACTTCTTGCGCAATATAGATGGACTCAGTGACGATAGTGACCGCCTCGTTAAGCTGGGGAATGGCATCCATAGGGAGGGAGTCTGGGAGGAGGGTTTCTACTATGTCCTGAAAAGCGCACCAGTCGGCATTACGAAAGTCAAAGCGGGGGTTACTTGGGACAGATGGAAGGAGGTGAGAGAAGTTACACTTTACTATGATAGGCACGTGATCACTCCCTATGTCCTCTCCTATGGAGAAGTCTTGAAAAAAAAGGGAGGAACCGTGCATTGCCGAGTGCGAGATCAATACTGTACGGGTTACCGTGAGCAAAGCAAGAATGGGTGGGGGAGTCGTCATTCAGAATGCTAAAGCAGCTGGAAGCTATGAAGTCGCATAGGATGCGACCTATTTCGTTGGTGTTGTCACAAAACGAAAGCTTGGGGGCGTGTGCATTAAAATCTCCTATGAAAAGCGAGGGGCCTCTGTATTCGTTAATGAAGTCCAAGTCAGCAGAACTAGGCGAGGCAGGAGGTAGGTAGGCATGAAATATGGTTAAAGAGGCAGATGGGAAGCGTATTTTAACTCCAATTATTTCTGATTTGGGGCTCCATTCGCGCTTAATTAATTCTGAGTCGAGATTATTTGAGATAAATACCGCAGATCCCCCTTGGTACGGCCTAGACTGATAGCACGGTTTGTAACAATAATAATTTTTAATTATGGGCGCGTTCTTACTTTTTAGTTCGCTTAGGCAGAGAACAGAGGGTTTAATTTGATAGATATACTGAAGGATTTCAGAGCGTTTGCTTCGGAAAGAGTTACAATTTAAGTGAAGAATGTTGAAGAGGGGAGAGGCGCTCATGGGTTACGCATCGGGAGGGGGAGGGTTGGTGTAGGAAAATGTGGGGAGGAGGGGGGACGTAAATCCCCACTCCCGGAGGGTAGCTAAGATAACTCTTAGCTGCTCGAATATGACCTGAAGCATCAGGTCATGTTTCGCTTCGAGCGAGGGCCTAGCAGAGATTGACGGGGGGTGAGTACGGGCGCGAGCAGAGACGCTAACTGAGTGAGCAGGGAGAGGTGCGGGCGTGGCGGTCGTCAACTGCTACGAGTCTTCATGGGCGGTGAAGAATCCGCGACATTTCCAACAGATCGTCTTCTTTCATTTCCTTTACAGGGTTACTATTACATTCACGAACCGACCTTAACATGAAATTGACTCGACCTCATTTGTCTCCCTCAGCCTTTTCTCTTATCCTTGTGGGAAAAAGGACCTGGAAAAAAAGGCGCCTTTGCACTCTGACCGTTTACCGTTGCTCTGTCCTGATTTTTGAAATCATTGTCGCCGTCACTGCTATGCTGTGAATCGGTATGACTCGTCTTGGAGGCCAACTGTGAACCGGCAAAAGAGATGTCTGAATGACCGGGCTTGCCACCTTCAGTTTGGCTTGGAAGCTGGAAGGTTTCACGATGGACTTCGGAAAATCTCAAGTTCCGATCTTCCAAAACCACATTGAAATTCTGTTACATTATTCACTCGGGCAATTTTTACAAATTAGGCGAGGGAGGAACGTTCTTCTCTCAGAACGGGATACTTAACCCATACCTTCCAGTCCCAACCTTGAAAGGGACAACCTACGGAGACTTCCTTTAAAACGGAGGAAAATGCAATATTTTGTGCCCTGATCGAGTGCCATCGTCTCGCAACAGGCATGTGGGTCGGCGATCTCCACCTCTTTTGGCTCTACTACCCAGACGGTCAGAAGTTCGTTCACTATATCATCTACTTCTGGGGTCTCCACGCGAAACTGATCTGTATGACGAGGATCGAAGAATTGCCCAATAACCACGTCCACTTCCGTGCCACCTACGAGCTGATCTCCCTCAATCGCTCATTAGACCCGATGATGCACGAAGTGACCTACACGATCCATCCAGCTCACCTTCTCCCCGAGCCCTGTGCTAACGTGCCGATATGAGATATTCACTTCTTCACCCGGTCTGGTACCTCCACCTTTCTCTAATCCGTTTGCATCCTTAACACCGAAAAGGCCCATTGCGATAGGATTTCGATTTAGCTTGTTAAGGTTCAAACTAAGTCTTTTCAGGAAAAGTTTCCTGTACCAACAGTTAGAAGCCTAAATGACTGAAATTTCTCGCAGTTTTATCCCCGTCTAGATCAGCTGCTTAGAACTATTCAATACTAATAAAAATGCAGTGCATTTTTATTAGTATTGAATAGTTCTAAAAGCTCTCATCACCGAGGTTCAACGAGTAGAAGGATGGGGCTGTGGCCAAGCTCTCGTCACCGAGGTTCAACGAGTAGAAGGATGGGGCTGTGGCCAAGCTCTCGTCACCGAGATTGCACGAGCAGGAGGATGGGGCTGTGGCCAAGCTCTCATCACCCAGGTTAGAGGAATATGAGGGTGGGGCTGAGGCCGAGTTCACTCCTAAGGAAAATTAAGCATTTATTGGAATTATAATTTTTCTCACTCTGTGAGTGGGACCTTTGGAAGTCAGCGACGGAAGAGACGTCGATCATGGATCGATTAATATCTCCGTATTTTTGTCTCATGTTTCATTCGCAAATGCAATGCTTATTTATTCGTTCGGAATGTTTCTATTTCTGACGACGGTAGGTAAGAAATGGAAAAACTGCAGCTTTCTCATAAATGGAGGAAATGGTTGCTCTTTCAGAAGGGACTGAGCGCTAATGTTGGGTAAAATTCCCACACATCAATCTACAGTATATTATTAATGAGCGTAAATGTCTGAGACCCTTTCTCCTCCTAGACGATATGACCCCTGACACTAAAACTTGGACCTTGAGATTCCTTGGGGTGGGACATCAGGACGAATGAGTTCGGTGACCTTGTGACCGATGGGTCAATGGACCACCTTGGGTCACCAGGGTCCCTTTTAATCCAAAATCGAATTATTTGCTTTTAGGGGTCGTGGTGCTCCCCGAGTTCTTTGGTGAAGTTAATTTTTTATTATTGACATTCCCCTTTGAGATATCGGGAGGTGAAAAGTAAACATTTTGCATATATTCTTCCTGTTGGCGAACTCCTCCTATGCCGACCGGATCCGAGCGAAACCGGCATCGATGGAAAACACGAAATCTTTAGAAGTTTCACGTCACGTTTTTGTCGTGTTACGACTAAATCTCAACAAGCTACGACCGAGAAACCATCGCAAACGTAGGGGATCAAAGGATCGATTGGTAGCGTGTTAGGCGCACGTGATCGGGAATCGGGGTTTAAAACACAATAGAGTCGGCCCTTTCCTTCCGTTATAGACACCAACGTCTTCGGGATAAAACACCGTGCATGAAAAATTCCCACTCTCGTCTCTACAGATGGAACGTCGAAGAACGTGGGGAAGGCCAAATGAATATCCCAGAAGAAATCACGATAGAGGGGTGCGGGTATGCGGGATCCACGGGGCATCTACAGGCAGTGCGGTAGTGGCGAGAATCGACGTGAATCAATCCAAATGGAACGGAAATGAATGCGCTTCAAATATCGCACCTTTGGATGTGTGCGAGGTGGCCTGTTTTCTTCCACTGTCTCTCTTGCAGTAGACTTCTGTCATATCGTACCATGCGGTATTTTAACCGAGTCATCAGGCCTTCGTTTAGGAGCAAAGTGAAGATGCTGGCTGGAACCCGTGCTGTCGCGAGGGTTGAGGCTAGTACTTTCGTTATCCGCGACGGAACAGTGAAATATCTCTTCTCGAGTCCATTAGGGTGGGAATCAATTTCCGGCAGTTGAGGGTCGTTTCCTGTCGACAGGTTAATGGTCGGCTTTCTTTCAGCGGATTCAAGAATAAAAACTCGTTCCTGTGTGCTTGAAATAGGAAAACACGCGAAATTTCCACAGCGTTTTCTACTTTTGAGGAAATCGATTTCCGAACATGATACAATCTGCAAGTGAGAAATGATAACATTTTAGTGTAAGAGCTAATTCTCCCACACAAGAAAAGGGTGAAGCTGTAGGAACGAGTGCAGGCATGCTCCATTCTCCATCTGGCCAAATTCATAAAATCATCCAGGGGTAAGTTACTTAGCGCTCATTTTATTTTATCTTCCAACGATTAGATGTAAAGGGTGGGGAAAGTCTCTTTATACGTGTATTTGAGCTGACATTCGGTTCGATGATGCAAGAATGGACTCTTCTGCCTCCCAGCCTGGATTTCTATGTGGTCGAAAACACGTGGAGAACGGCATGATATTTGCTATTTTAACCCCTTCAGACCTGTATTATTTCTAATAATTTTAATTTTTGTTTCCTTTTAATACGGCATTGTGATGTGAAAAGAAGTAATTTAAAGGGTCCTTCAAAATGTTAAATGTTATAGGAACCGAGGT